GGAATTTACTTATAACGTGCAATAAAATGTCAGCTGTTCCATGGCGTACGACGTACTGAGCGCTGAAAGGTATTTTTTGCTCGAATTGTTTATAAAGTTACAACTGTCAAGCCAGCTAATTTGACACCCGATAAGCTTTGGTTAATAATACAAGTATACTATAAATTCTATAATCAACAAAAATATAAATATTATTTTGTTTAATATATCTGCACGTATACACCGCCATACATACTCCACAATCCACACTGTAATTAACATGTTTCGGTTCACAGAAACACCTTCCTTGCAAACTTGTAAGTACATACGGGTAGTTAATAAGGAGGCTATTATCGGCATTATCGACCGACAGTACTTAATCCTGTCATTTTTTAAATGCCCAAGACAACACAGTGATCGATTTCGATCCGAAAGCCATTATTATTTTCTAAAGATCTTGTACAATGCAAAAATTCTTAATGATATGAGTTATGCAAAGATTCACTTATGCACGTACCATGAGACTACCGTACCTACACAGACATCCTGCACAAATCTAAAAAGTCAAAATACACAAAAGTATGCGAATGAGTGCGAGTTTTCTCTACACCCACCAGGGAAATGGAACCCTCCGATCCAATCTGCGGGTCAAGATTTTGTCTACTTATATACACGGTAGTCTGTACTCGCACCAAACTTATTGTTTTCCAAGTGTGTGTGTGCAATATGCAACTTTGACCTTTTTATTCCCGGCACAGAAGAACGCAGGTAGGGAAGAGATATAAAGTACCGGCACCGCAAATACAGTATACCAGCATAGAAACTGGGCAAGTACACTGCACGCAAGAGGGAATTTGCTTCAAGTATAATTATTTTATTTTATACATTTAGCTTATACACAACAGTTAACATCACAACGCAGTACACCCAATCAGCATAAAACAGCCTCGGAAGGTCTAAGAACCGAGAACAACTGATCTAAATTTGCTCCCGGTGGAGCTGTTCCCTGAACGGAGGCCGCGTTCCCGCGCTGGATTTCTATGCTGGAATTTACTTATAACGTGCAATAAAATGTCAGCTGTTCCATGGCGTACGACGTACTGAGCGCTGAAAGGTATTTTTTTGCTCGAATTGTTTATAAAGTTACAACTGTCAAGCCAGCTAATTTGACACCCGATAAGCTTTGGTTAATAATACAAGTATACTATAAATTCTATAATCAACAAAAATATAAATATTATTTTGTTTAATATATCTGCACGTATACACCGCCATACATACTCCACAATCCACACTGTAATTAACATGTTTCGGTTCACAGAAACACCTTCCTTGCAAACTTGTAAGTACATACGGGTAGTTAATAAGGAGGCTATTATCGGCATTATCGACCGACAGTACTTAATCCTGTCATTTTTTAAATGCCCAAGACAACACAGTGATCGATTTCGATCCGAAAGCCATTATTATTTTCTAAAGATCTTGTACAATGCAAAAATTCTTAATGATATGAGTTATGCAAAGATTCACTTATGCACTAATGCAAAAATTCACGATATATCAATCGCTGACTAGCGTAAACAAAATACTGTGTTGTCGAGTCAACTTGCCACCTTTTTTTACAGTGAGTCGTATCCGATTAGCATATAACTCACTGTAAGAAAAGCTGGCAAGTTGACTCGACGATACAGTAATCTACCCACTCGTTTTACAAACGTTTTTGCGTAGTGTTGGGCCAGTCGCTATGGCAGCCTACGAGTATGGCAGCCAGCGACAGTCCCGCTTCCGGTGTGCTGACTCACACCGAGTCGCACTCGCTGTCGAGCGCTAGATCAGCCTCGACTCAGGCAGCTTTCCGCCCAGCCTTACGTCTCGGCCAATCATCGGCCTCGATGTAGGCGGAGCCACGCCCCACTTCCACATCTCGGCCTATCAGCGTTCGTTCGCTCGTGTTGGATCTGCCCAGTATGCCGCATAGGCTTTTCCCATGCTTTGGCTCGATATGCCGTTCATTCTGTTTCACTAGCATATCATTCACTGTACTTTCACGATACTGCTCGCACCTCGAGCCTTTGTATGTTGGTTCTTCACTTTATTGCTATCACAATAAAGCCTTCTCTCACTATCGTGAGCCTTTGTTCGCCAGCTGTCACATGATAGCATATCGTTGAGTTTTTCCTTCTGCGAACCTTCTGAGACCCCGGTGTAGACCTACATCCGTAACGGCCGACGAGAAGACAGGGGAGAACCGAAGGTTCATATCCCCATCTGATTGCCGCCAGCCAGAACGGTCTGGTGTCTTCTCTCTCTCTTGCGGGCAGAAAGCCTCGGCAGACCCTCTTCTTGCGCGTGGACGGAACGTTCCTCGCGGAAACGACCATCGGACGGACTTTGCCCGGGTCGATTAGCGGATCCCCGGACAGAACGTACGGCACGGACCCAGCGGACCCTCGCAGCTTCATCAATCGGGGTCGCCTTTGCCTTAAGTGGCACCCGCAACTTTACCAGCACGGGATTCACCGGACGAACAAGCGGATTCACCCGGTAAATAGGGTCGACTGACCCTCGGTAAGCCTCGTAGAGCTTCATAAGACCCGATATAGCCGGGCAATTTTCATTTTCACCGGACCAAAAGTAATTTGGCCGGCTAAAACTTATTTTCACCCAGAGAAACGGGCTTAAAAACATCTTTTACGGGTAAAATAGGGTTAGCCAACCTTACTAGGTCGGACCCTCGAGCCTCGGTGTAGACCCTCTGAGCCTCGGTTTTCAACCTCCTCTAACCTCTAGAAAATTAAGGGAATAACTTTCCCCCGGCTAAAATAATTTTTGGTCGGTAAAATTAATTTTTCTGGATTTTCTGCGATTTTTCCGAATTTTTCCATCTCGGAAATTAATTAATTCAAAAATTTAAATAATTATGACGTCACGACGGCCGATTTTACATTATAAAATTCGACCAATCAGGATAGCGGGGAAATTCCCTATGCTATAGGCCCGTAGTGAGTCATAGTTTTTTGGAATTTTGCACGCGGCGCGTAGAATCGTGACGTAGGCGGTAATCCGCAAGACCACTTAGTGGTGTGTGACGTCATAGCGGTCAGTGCTGTAGTATAGGACGTACGTAAGCTGTACCCTGTATTGACAACAGTACTGAGTTGCATGTAGTACAAGCACACCCACACCATCACCCCTCACCCCACCGGACCTCTGCGCCCCCCACCGGTCCTTAGCCCCCCCACCGGGCCCTTGGACCTTCAACAGGCAAAAAGCCTCATCAGCCTCGGACAAGTCCCCAATAGGGATTCTCTGACTTTTTGGCCGAAGGGGCAACCCGGAGGCTACTTCACAGCTCCAATAGAGCTACCACCGAAGATGTCCGACCGATCGAACCCATACGAACGGAAGTTCGATCAAGGCTATGCCCGAAGGGATAACGCAGGCGGATATACCTTCCGTCATGCCGGCCCGGGCAACGAGCCTCACTCGTCGGACTCCAACCGATCGAGTAAGTCCGGCAAATCCAACCAGTCGACCAAATCAGCCAAGGAGAAGCGAGATGCGCGGATCCTGGCGAACGACTTTACCCAATCGCCGGAGGATAGCTTCGAGGACGCACACGACCGGACGTTCCTCGAGCTACCACAGGCTGAACCGGAGGTTCTGCATGACCCAATAGGTCAAACTGCGAACTCCGAGCCTGCGGCTGGACTTGTGCACCCAATATGTGCCTCGCCAGTCTTCTTCCCGGCCATCACCCCGGACAATGGAGCCTCGAGCCCGGTGCTAAGTAGCTCCTATGTGTCACCGGACATGGGTGACCCTGTGCAGCCCCAACAGGGCGGCATGGCCGGATCGAAACCGAGGCAAGGCCAGATGAGCCCGAGCCAAATGAAGGGTACGGCATTACCGACACGGGGGGTGACCCACAAGACGGGTTCACCGACTAAGTCTCCACCGACCCTGGCTCAAAGCCCCAAACCAACGGGCAACAACCCTAAATCCTCGGACAACAGTCGGAAATCGATGTCGCCGGACCCGAAACGACCCTCCGGGTCTCCGAAGGCGACCACACCGGACCCGAGGACCCTCACCGGGACCCCAACTCGGACTTCGAACTCATCGAAGCCAACCTCGGGGACTTTAAAATCCCCGCAAGGGAGGATACAGTCGGCAAAAGCCTCGGGCACCGAGGCTCGGACCCTCAACACCAGGGTCCGGACTCCGACCCAACAGGTTGGAACATCCAAAACCCGGCCGACAACCCCCACTTCCTCGGCTAGAAAAGCCGTTTCTCCGGTAAAATTTCGGATTTCATCGGTCGGAACGGACATAGCCTCCGTGGACGAGGTTGAGGGTTCGGTTACCGAGGTTAACTTAACTTTGGCTGGCGGACCGTCATCCACGAAACCCATGACCCCCGGCAGTGAACCTATGCTGACCCGAGCCAGCCGGATGGAAGCCTCACAGGCTACTCGTAAGTCGAAATCGGCTTCACCGATGGTTGCAAAGCCAACCACGGACCATCCGGCCACACCACCGATGTTCGAACCCTCGGGCCTCGGGGCAGACAAGACTCCATCACCGACCGACGATGTCTTCGACGCAACCGTGTTACCCAATAAGGTGACCGAGCGTCCGGACAGCAGAAAGGGCTTCAGGTTTCCGTCACCGAAGCAGTACCCAGGCTCACACACCGGAGCATCGGACTATACACCCCGGCGGTACCTGACAAAGACCCCTTCGTAGAAGATCGATAACCCACAGGTCCTCCGCCAACGGATTTACGAGCTGCAAAACCAGCTCTTGGCCGGGCAAAACATCGTCGAATCGACGGAGAATGTCTTGTCCCAGACGGTAGCTTCGCACAAGCAGGAGCGCAAGAGGCTCACTGCTGAACTTGAACGTGCGAACACCGTCATCGACGACCTCACCCAAGAAATCGAACAGTTAGAGGCCCAGTTGAAGTAACTGAGGAGCCCTGCCGTTATGACCGGACCGAAGTCACCAGACTCCAGGACATGCTGGAGCAGTCTCGGGCCGAGGTGGCCACACTGCGCCAGGACTTGGAACAGCGGTTACAGACCCTCGGCGACTCCGAGGCTGGCTCGGCCGAGCTTCAGAATGTGCTAGGCCGGGTGGATAAATACTATAAAGAGAACAACCACCTCAAACAGGGCATCATCAGCTTGGAGGGAGAGATCGACGAACTTCAGTGGGAACTCGACTTCCTCCGGACAGCCTACGAGAAACTCCGGTTGAACCAGAACGACCCGGAGGGTGTAGCCATAGACCTCCGGCTATGCCAGGCCCAACTTGGCCAGCAGATTCGTGCCCTCACCACCCATCTCCAGAACGAGACAGCCCGGTTCAAACAGGCCCGAATTGAGAACCTCGGAGTCATCGAGGCTCAACGAGCTCGGATAACCCAGTTGGAATCCGAAAAGACCCAATGGGAGACATACAAGGACCGTCTCCCAAAGTACCAACAGGAACTTTACGACTTCGGCACGGATGTATCCAACAAGTACAACGACCTGTGCGAAAAGCACAATCAGCTGATCCAGGAACGAGAAAACCTGGGCATTGAGGTCGCGTGCCTGAAGGAGGAAAAGACTTACCTCGAGGACTCAATGACGGAGCAACCGCCATCCTATCGGTCAGCCCAAGAGCAGGATAAATGTCAACAGATTGATGACTACCTGCGCCGAGACAACCCCCTGCTGAACCCAACAGGTCAAACGGGGGCTCACGAGGGACAAACTTATCAGGTCGGAATGCTTCGGGCTGAACCGTCGGTGGGACCCATACCGAGGCCACCGGTAGTACCGTCAGCCCCGGAGCCGGAGCGAAACATTTCGACGGCCACCCCCAACGCACCGACCCATTCCACTACCACAACAACTACGGCCTACGGAGGGACATCCACAACGACGATGTTCTCAACCGGAACTAGGCCCGTAGCATCAACCTCAACCGGACAAGACCAACCCCGAGGCTCGAACCTCCGAGCCCCGGTAGCCGGACCTGGCATGGGACTTAGACCGCCGACAAACGCCTCGGCGGGAAGTTCGCAACCCAATTCGGGGAATTCCAACCGGGACCGACAACGCTCGGGTTCCCAGAACACGTACCCGCCGAGGATCGAAGTACAACCCGTATCGGCAGGGCAGCGCAATTGGGCTGACCCGGTACGCCCCGGCTACCCAGATAATGTACCACAGCAGCCTCGGCTAGACAACCGTGGCCCAATAGGTCTGGTTGGCCCCGGCGCTGTTGGCAATGTCCCCTATCAGCCCCAGCAAGGCAACATGGACCCAATAGGTCCGGCGCCCCAGGCTGACCAATACGTGGTTATACCACCAGGGATGTGGCTCGATCAGAACCGAGTCCTCCAACGGATACCTGGGTATGTGGCACCGAACCAACCGCCGAACCAGGGGAACGGAGCGCAGAATCCTCCGCCCGGACCGGGACAGCCGCAACAGCCGGCACCCCCTGGCAACCCTTATCCTCAACCACAGCCGTACCCACCTCAACCCGTCCCGGCTGCGCAGAACCAGCAAGCGGCCTATCCAATAGGTTGGAACCCTCCGGTAGCCCAACAGGCAGCGCCGGTGGCCCAACCCCGTCAAACCCCACCACCCGATGAGCAAGACATTGCTCAAGCCCGACTCGAGGGCTACGAAGAAGGCCGGCGCCGGTACGAAGAGCGGAACAACCGGATCTTGGCTCAGAAGAATCGGGCAGAGTTGCCGAAGTTCAACGGCAACGGGGCCAAGGTGGAAGGCTGGATCACAAAGATCCGGCGAATCTATCGCTCGGAGGCTGACGACGTCGCAAAGACGAACGTCGCCTTTATGACGGAGCTGGAAGGCGCCCTAACTGGACAAGCCTGGAATGGTACCAGAACCAGTCAGCTCTGGAACCAGAGGAAAACGGATGGACCGTCGACTACTGGCTGCAGCAATTTGCGGCCCGGTTTATGGACCCTGACAAACAGGTCACGGCTGTCGCGGACATCACTACCAGGAAGTACATGCTGGGGCAAGAGACCCCCGAGCAGTATTACGACGCCATCATAAACCTCAAACAACGAGGCAACCTTACCGATGAACTAGCGGTCTTCTATCTGAGGACGAACGTAACGGAACCGATCCTTCGAGCAGCCTTGGACGTGAGGATGCCGAAGACGACACGGGAGTTCCGGGACTACGTTCGGGACTTCACCCGGGGGAAGCCGATGTATCAGGTAGTTAAAGGTGGCAATACCACCAACTACATCACCGTCAAACGACGACGCCTGTCCCTGTGACCCAACCGGCTCCCGGATACATCCAACCCAATTCGCCAGGTTACCAGAACGTGCAACCGGGGCTTCACCGACAGAGCCCTCCGGCGACACCACCCCCTCAAGCCCGTGGTCAGATCGAACAGACTTGGGCGGCAATGGCGGCGTTGAGCCTGAATGGGGCCCCAACAGGGACCATGGTCACGCCGCCGGCCTATGGAAATAGCGGCCAACCAAGTCAGCCTCGGAGCCCCGGCTACGGCCAACCTCAGAGCCAGGGATACTCCGGCTATGGCCAGCCCCAACAGGGCTACAGCCAGCCTCGGAGCCCCGGCTATGGCCAGCCCCAACAGGGCTACGACCAGAACTCCGGCTACGGCCAACCTCAGAACCAGGGGTATGGCTTCGGAGGCGGATATACACGCGGTGGAGCCTCACAATATGGTGGCTCCGGCGGAAGACGTGGCGGCGGGAATCGCGGCCGCGGAAACTTCGGCAACCGCGCGGGTGGAGGCGGCCAGCCCCAGAATGTGCAACGGCAGCCCCGGACACCACAGCAGTAGGCTCGCCAGCAGGAGACTTATGTCGATCGGATGGAAGCCAAGTTCTTCCAGTGGACCCAGGACGGAACGTTTCCCTGCGGTCACTGTCTATGGGGCAACCACAACCAAGCGAGTTGCGGCTATGCCAACCTTCGGCTGGAAGACAATCAAAACTGAATATGGTACCTGGATTGGAGGTACCGGTACGATAATGGATGGCCATTAGGTTCGGCGAATCAGAACTTCCCGAACATCGTACCACCCCGGCGCCCCCGTCAGCAGAATGCCGGCGGATTCGGCGGCCAAGGCAGCCCTAACCGGCAGCCTGGCCAGGGAAATGGAGGGAACCCCCAGAATGTTGGTCGACCCCCATTGGCAACCCCGCCACCAGCCCAACGGCCGCAACTGCCGCCGTCCCCGGCCCCCAATAGGGGCCCGAGCGGATTTCAACCGGCAGTTGGCGGACCCGTCCCGGGTACATCCCAGGGAAACGCCTAAGGTCGATGAGCTCCGGTGACTCATTCGACCTCTGTCATCCGACGGAACCACCGGATAAGGATAACCCCACTAACCGGATTAACCCTTTGGACATAACTCGGAACCTCAACGAGGATTTAGCCTCCGCAACGGTCAGCGAGGCCGCTAGAATCTTAGCGGCGGGAACGGTAGCCCAATTAGGCGCCGAACATCCCCGGTTCGGATACTCGGAGAATCGACCCGAACCTCGCCACGCCGATAATGCGGCTCCCGGACCAGAACAGGTACCTGGGAGGATCGGCCAAGGAACTTGGACCCGATCGGCAGCCGGGACACAGAATGTGCCCGGACCCCCAGGCCCAGAAGGTGAAGCCGGGGATGTCGGCCGGAGAAACCGGATCCGACCAGCCGGGACGAGAAACGTCACCAGGCCGCCCGGACGGCTCAGTGCCCAATTAGGCATTACGAGCCACGGGCTAAGCGGAGAATCGGGACGCCGACCCGCAATCTCACAAAGTGCCAGAATGACGCCTAAACCGTCCTTGGTAGGCCAACCAGGTAGACGGCCGGAGGCTCCGACCGACGAAGTAACGGAGTACTTCGAAGACTGGGAATCAGTACCTTTGGAGGCACAGGTGCCCGCCTACTGTCTGCAGCAGGAAGCGGACCTCTTCCAGTGACAACCGGCCAGAACGGTAACCGGATCGCGTACGTTCTTCAACATGCAGTATAACCTCTCAACCTTACGGGAGGGTCAACCATCCATGGAAGAACGGATAGCAAGCCGGACATACCCGGTGGAAACCGCCGAATCGCTAATGAACGGAGTAGCTAACCGACCGGATGCGGATCACTCGGTTAAGGAAGTTCCACCCGGGCTACCAGGCTTATCAGCCCCGGCAAAACGGCTAAGTCCACACCGACCCTCGGATGGCTACCCACAAGACGGAGTAGATCCACCGAGGTCGGGCAGCATCTCATCACCGCCGCGCGTAGACACCAATAGTGTCCCCGGCGGACCAACGATACCTTTAATCCCGGTCGAAGTGACCATCAGGGAAGTAACGATTGAACCGTTACAGACCACCGGACGACCGAAGGTAGTCCGGGCATGGACACATGAAGTTCAGATTGGACCAGTGACAACCATGGCTATGTTGGACACCGGAGCCGAAACATCCCTAATAGAGGAGCGTTTCTGCCGGACTAACAACCTTAAACTCGAATCCCTGGGCTATTTCACCAAAATACTTGGTGTCGGCGGACAAGTCGCCTTCATGGTAACCCATTGCTGTAACGTACCGGTAACCCTGCGCGGGTTCACCAGCCCCCATACATTTCACGTCCAACCCAATAATTCGGACGTTCCCGTACTTCTTGGATGCGACTACCTGCACTCCAAGTTCGTCCTCACCCGGGCGCCAACAACCCCCAACGAAGGTCAGCGGAACCCATCTTCGGGTGTAGTGCAGCCTATCCCGATACCAGAGGCATCGGGCACGGCAGCGAGTGAGGCTCGGATAAATCGGCTTGATCACCCGATGAACCCCGGACCTCCGATCTGCCCACAATGCTCGGACACCGAACGAAGCCTCGTAACGGAGCGGCAAATCCACAACACCATCGAACAATACTTGGCGAAAGTACGGACGACCCGATTGGAACCAGTCCGAGGGATACTAAAGTCTATCCCGATACCAGAGGCATCGGCCTCTGGTATACTCAGTCAAAGGTACCGAACTTGGTTTTCCGGCATTCGACACCTCCTTGAAACCCGAACGGTTGGTATAAGAATTGCACTCGAACGAGTCGGTGCAAGGACGGACGATCAGATCCGAGCCGCACGGGAGGAATGCCAAGAGGTAATCGACCTAACTGAAGCCTTAGAAGAGGAAATCATCGAGTGGGAAGAAGAGCGGATTGTACTCCACGCACAATTCGTGGAACACCAGCTCCCCATACCGGCGATACTGGAAATCCAGTCCCATGAATTGGACCGACGCCTTATGTGGCATTTTCGGGATCCCTACCACTTCGGTACCCTGGACACTGCCTCCTTTTAGAGTCGATACGGCGAAGATACCCGCATAACTAGGGTCGTGCCGGACTCCGAACCTCCGATCAAGCCTTGTAATTGGCACCAGGCTAAGAAAGTAAGGTTAGCAGGGGCGGTGCACCCACAATGGGGGTCGCCTAGCTAACATACGGGAACATGCCCCGGATCAACAATATATGACCTTGGAATGCCCGATCTGCCACGACAATAATGGAGCGATCGTCCAAGCCCTCAGAACTCGGAACGAATAAGTCTGGGAGCATGGTAGGCCACCATCCCCCGGACCTCCCGAACTGGGAAAGTGGGAAGGACCGACTCAGCAGACCCCAGTTAGGGTTACTGACGGTCTACTTGGACCATCCGCTGCAACAGCGGAGGAAGGCGAAGCCAATGAATTCGAAGATTGGGATTCGGAAGCCTCGGATGTACAGAGCACAAGTGACTCACCGGACACAGACTCCGATAATGAGCCATCAGACCCTTCAGAAGGCAACTCATCGGATACTTCCGATGACGACGATGATAACGATATCGGCTTCGACCCTTCGGTTCGATGGATGGGAATCGACACACCCCCGGACAAACCCCCAAAAGGTGGATCGTCCGGTAACGAACCCTCAAAGGAAGCCCAGCAACCTCAGAACGGAGGCTCGGGCCAACGGCGGGCTGAGTTAACCGCAATTACGGTTTCTCACCCGGCTGACAGCCCAGTAATCTCGGCTACGTCCAGCGATACGGGCCAAGAATATCACCCTAATACCTCCGAAGCTGAATCCTCGGAAGGAAGCCCCACGTACGACGTCCGTGCGGCGGGACAACGGGTATCTCAGACCGACGACGAACAGATTGCCCAACAGGCGACATTCGTCGGAGGTAACCCCGTTGAACCCGACAAAAATACAAGTCCCGACGGAGCCTCGGCTAAACCGAAGAGAGCCTCGGTTCGACAGACTAAGTCGGAGAGCACCGTCTATAACCCATGGAAACGGGTACGGAGGCCGAAGCCAATAGCAACAGGCCCAACCGTCAATCGTCTTCAGCTCCATACCGAAGATAAGGACGAAGACCGACAACCCGTTTTTGTCGAAAACAAGTGCACCCTACCACCCTTCTCAACCTGCGCCGTACTGGTACGAACTCTTAAGAGCATGGCCCCTCACCGGGATATCCATTTTGAATCCTTCCGGCGAAAGCACTCCGGAGTTCGGCCGATTGAAGACACAATCGAGATCCGACCAGGTACTCCGAAGGGGTGCGAAGATCGGATACATGCACTATAGCGACACCTACGGGTTCGAACCCGACAACGAAGGGATCGAATGGGAAATCCCGATGGGAGTAGCCCGAGTCGCACAGCACGGAGACCGACCATTCAGTTTACCGAGGGCGACACAATATGACGCTACTACGGTACGGACCCAACAGAAGGTCCAGCTACTCCCCAGGGCTATCGTCGAAGTCACGGTAACCCTCAACATAGAAGTCGACCCCGCTAAGAACAAGTACCTAATGTACCTCGGCTCGGAGGAAGCCTTAGCGGAAGGTATTGAGATGAAGGATGGTCCGACCCCACATGACGGGAAGAAGTTCACCATCCTGGTGGCAAACCACACCAATAAGGACATAACCATCAGGAAAGGAACCCCAATGGGTCGAGTCGAGCCGTATGAACACATGACGGACGACCGAAAGGCCCGGACAGACTTACCCAAGAAGGTGACGAAGACCCGGCAACCGTCGAGGAACAGAAGAAAGCCATAAACTCCATGAAGCTCGGAGAGAACCTAACCGACGAGCAGCGACAAGTCCTTCGGGACATTGCATGGGAGTATCGGCTTGTCTTCCCAACTTCAAAGCGACCCTACGGTAACGTCAAGGGAGTCACCCACGTCATCGATGTCCAAGGTGCAAAGCCTATAAAGATGAACCCAACTAGAACCAGTTGGAAGGGTCGCCAGTTCATCTCCAAACGTGTCCAAGAGATGCTGGACCAAGGAGTCATTGAACCCTCCGACGCAGCATGGAGCTTCCCCGTGGTCTTGGCAGCCAAGAAAAACCCGGATGGCTCCGTCGGAACCAGGTTCTGCATCAACTGCATCAAGTTGAACGCAGTAACTAAGAAGAACAACTACCCCCTTCCGAACCCGGATGAACTACTGGACAAGTACGCCGGGATGGAATACTACGGCAAGGTCGACTGCCAATCCGGTTTTTGGCACATCCCAATGGATGAAGCCTCGAAGGACATGACCACCTTCGTCACGCCAGAAGGCATGTATCGGTTCAACCGGATGCCGTTCGGAGTCTGCAACGGACCCGCAACCTTTCAGATGCATGTCGATAAGATAACCGCAAAAGCCCGCAAGAAAGGCGTTTTTGCGTACATCGATGACATCATCTTCTTTGGCCGGACCTTTGAAGAATTCAAAGAAGCCTTCCGAGCCACCCTGGACTGCCTACTTGAGGCCGGGTTCACCATCAAACCCTCGAAGTGTGAGGTTGGAACGGACAAGCTACCGTTCCTCGGACATGTCCTCAGCAAAGCCGGAGTCCAGACCGACGACGAAAAGGTAGCGGCTATTGCACAACACCAACCCCCACGAACAGAACGCCAATTGCGGTCGTTCCTCGGGTTGGCCAACTACTATCGGAAATTCATCCGCAACTACGCTCAGCGGACATCAAAGATGTATGAACTCCTCCGGAAGACCAATTCCATCCGGACAGATTGGACGGACGACCATACAGCGGAGTTCAACGGCATCAAAGAGGCTTTTACCACAGCCCCGGTACTCGCAAAGTTCGACCCGACCAAGAAGACGGTAATCGAATGCGATGCCAGTGGAGCCGGACTTGGCGCGGTGTTGTCGCAAGAAGGACAACCCGTAGCATTTGCCAGCCGAGTACTCCACGGAGCCGAAAAGAACTACGGAGTCACCGAATGGGAATGCCTAGCCGTAGTTTGGGCCGTCCAGAAGTTTAAACACTTCATTGATCATGGACCCTTTACCGTCAGAACGGATCATCGAGCCTTGCAGAACCTGATGCGCTGTGAGTCTAATAGACCCGGTATCAACCCCCGGCTAACTCGGTGGGCTTTGGCTCTGCAAGGTAAGGACATCACCATCGAGTATAAACCCGGAGTTTTCTGTGATAATGCGGATGCTCTGTCTCGATGGCCGTTGGAACGACCCGACGACAATGACCCCCATGAAGAATTGGACCAGGTACACAACTTTGAGGACTTCAAGGATGAGATCCGAATAAGGTCTCTCCGGGTACAAAGACATGAAATTAAGGAAAAGAGCCGAAGACATCCGGATCTCATACTTGAGCCCGGAGGCTGGACGGATGAGGCTAAAGTTAGGTCTCTCCGAGCGGCAGCTGAATGGAGGCAGACCACAAATATGTGTCGCCCCGTTCCGAAAGCAACCCCGCTGCCTGGATGCAAGGTCATCTCCGACTGGAACGACCTGTCCACCGCAGATGTACGGATAATTAACGTAGTCGTACCGGACGACCCGGGCTCACAAGGCGAGTCGAGGGTCGGATCTGCAAAGGTACGGACTACCGAAGTCAACGGACCGGAGGCTTCGGGTTCACAAGGCGAACCCGAGGATGAAGAGGAGAAACCGATAGAGTCCAACAAGGAGCTACGCAGACTGCAACTCCGGGACCCTCACCTCCGGAAGCTGATCGATGAACTTGAGAACCAAGACCAGCTTGACCACAAGTCCAAGCTGTTGGAACATTACCAGATGAGCGGAGGTATACTGTACCGGCTGACCACCCACAACACCAAGTTGGAACGACGGTTCGTGGTCCCGCTCTTCATGCGAAAAGGCATCATCCGAGCACTTCACGACGGAAAAACCGGTAACAATTTCGGCCGCGTGAAGACACTGGAGGCAGCGAAGCTTCGGTACTACTGGGACCGGATGCTATCCGATGTTCACGACTATGTGGATAACTGCCCCCGGTGTACCTTGGTGAACAAGCCCCGGACTAAACCACCCGGTAAACTCCAGAAGATGGAAGTAGGTGAACCTTGGTTCCGAGTTTACGCGGACTTCAAAGGACCCTTACCTCGGACTGAGTCGAAGGGATACCAATATATCGCGGTCGTCACCGACCAGTTCACCAAGTTCACCATAGCCCGAGCGACCAAGACTAACTCGGCGAAGGAATTTGAGAAGTTCTTTGTGGAGGATGTCGTCCTAAAGTACGGCATGCCGACCCACCTTCATACCGACCAAGGATCCCACTTTACGGCTAAGACCTTCGCCAAGGTGGCTAAGATCTTCGGAATCCAGCACACTTTCGGAACAGCCTACCACCCAGAGGGTCAAGGCCAAGTCGAACGTTCCATGCAGACGATTTGGGACGGCATCAGGAAGGAGTGCGACGCCAAGGATGGTCACCGATGGCACCGGAACCTACAGTACGTAGTGTGCGGAATTAACCGAGCGAAACATGCGACCACCGGGTTCTCACCCTACTACATGCTGTACGGACGTGAGATGACCATACCCCAGGACGTCATTACCGGAACCAACGCACCGGAACACTATACCGATAAGGAACATTACATCAAAAGGATGAAGGAACGGCTTCAGAGGGCTCACGACATCGCGAAGACGAACATCGGTGAAGCTTCGAAAAGGCCGCAGAACTCTATAATAAGAGGAAATCAGTACCGGACTTCCAGAAGAGAGACCTCGTCCTGGTAGAGTATCCCAATAAGGATCCTACCAGGAAGGAACGGTACGATGGAGTATGGACGGTACTCAACTATAAGGGACCCAACAACTTCTGGCTCCGCAACGTCGAAACCGGAAAGGAAGACGTCGTCGCCGTGGATAGATGCAAACATCATCCAAGCAACAAGCGTCGGCGGATCACGCGATCTTACGGCCAGAAGAAAGCCGAGGGAACCTCGGGTAGTAACCTTGCAACGGTGCCGTACCCCCATGAGGGTCAGCCCGCTCGCAATACCCGGGCCCGAAAGGCAAATCCAGCCGAAGAGAAGCCGAAGGAACCGGCAAAAGAGCCTCAGAAACTGGACTTAACGTCAGTTCAGGACCCGAATAAGGGTCCGTCCGACAAACCGAGTCCGGAGGAACCTCCTAAACCGAAAGGAAAACGTGGTCGACCGAGGAAGAAGCCCCCGTCGGACTTCGAGACACCAGCCCTGCAGGAATTGCAAAAGCAGGCTGTGATAGAGGATGAATCCGAGGCTGTCCCGGAGAAGCCTAAGAACTTGGCCGGATCATCCGAGGCTAACCCGAAGAGGTCGGTGGACTTAGTCGCGAATACCGAGGCTACCTCAACTAAGCCTAAGGAGCCTAAGGCACCGAAGGAGAAGCCGGCAAAAGTGAAGAAACCGGTGAAGAAGCGACCCGACACACCGGTCCCGGCAGTTTCAACCGATAAGACGGTTGAACCCCCGGCTCCGAAACGGAAGTACGGGACGGCCAAGAAGCCTAAGTTAACGGCGCATGAGGTACTTGAAGAAGCTCAAGTGGCCGAAGATGAAGCACACAAAGATATCCTCGACAGAATTGCCGAAGGAAGGGCAGAACCGGTCAAATCGACCAAACCAGCAAAGAAGCCCAAAACAACAAAACCCACCACAACACAAACATAGGGCCATAGTTAACTTAGAATAAGTTAGGACTTAGCTAGGACATAGTTAAGAATGGACCTTTGGTGTCGAAATGGAACCTCTTCAGTTGTGCACGGAATCTTCAGTTGAACTTATCTGGCCTTATCAGAATGCTAACGAGCCGTATCTCCTTTATCCTAATAGCCTCCTATCACGATGTCTGACCGACAACGAGACCCTCCATCGAGCGGATCGAACAGTAGCCGACGCGACAACCGACGATCCCAGCCGTACCCGCACAACCGATCGGGTTCACGGGTTGAAACGCGTTCGGCCACCCAAACCCCTATCCCACAGGTAACAAACCCGCATGCGAACATAGCGGCAGATTCTTTGGCAGGTTTAACGGTCGGGTCACGGACGGTCACTCAACCCCGGACGATCCCCCTCCAGACCTTGCCACCGGGCACTATGCTCGACGAAACTGGACTTTTGGTGAATGTGAGCGCGGCCACCGGTCAGAATGCACCGGCAGTACCGATCGACCCAATAGGTCAGATCCGCCCGCCACTTCTACCGGGAACATTCATCCCCGGACCAGTTATACCACCGACGGTACCATACATTCCGATTACGGTGACGAGCATCCAGCCGGCCCCAATAGGGCCGCTGATGACTCAAGCCGGGATGAACCCCATGCCGAACCAAATGTTCGCCATGTTCACACAATGGTGTAACCAGATGGGTATGAACCAGCCACAAGGCGGCACGGTCAACCCTCTGATGGGATACCCTTTGGTCACTGGATTAATTGGAGCCTCGCAGCAGCCGACATTACCGGCGGCGCCACGGCAGGATGGCACAAATATGCCTCCGGTGGTATCAGCGACGGCTTGGCCGGAACGTCAACGGACGGCATCCCCGTTCACTCGATACTACGAGGACGGAACGAAGGCCTTCTCGGTCCACATGTTAAAACGACCAAAGCCTCCGACATCATCAGCGGAAGTAACACCGGCACAACCAACAGCCGGACCTTCAACAGCCGGACCCTCGACAGCCAGACCTTCGGCAGCCGCAATCACGGTTGAACCGATCTCGGCCGCATCTTCGGCCGGATTGCGAAGGCAGATCCGACCCTCGGAAGAACTCACATTGGGTCTTATGGAAGCTGAAAGCGAATGGACCATCGTCCAGCGCAAGATAGAAGCTCTCAAGTTGAGCGACCCTAACTTTGCGCAGGAGTTGACCCGACTGAACTCGGAAATGAAGGAGCTGGAACAGTACATCCAGGATACCCGGGCCATACTTAAAGCCCGGCAGTCAACCTCCGAAATACCAGCCTCGGAAAGAGGGCCAGCCTTAGCAACCGCAACTACGGGGGCTTCGGCTGGATCAACTAACCCTCCCCTCAACCCTTCGATGACCGAAGTGTATACCTTGCTCGGATAAACCGAAGCTCTGGTGCAACAAATGCGGAGCCGAAGTACTCCGCAAACTTTTGGCGCAGACCCCTTTAACCGGAGGACAACTGCAGTTACCTTACGGTCATTACTGGATCTTGAAAGCCCAGGTAGAGGAGGCCCGAACCGAACACCCTCTGGCACCCCCTAGAGGGGTGGACAACACGCCTGGACCGACGAGCCGAGAAACAAAATGGGGATCAGCCGTCGCAACCACAATTATGGGGGCTTCGGCTGGAACAACAAGAACCCCGGATGACGGGGATGCGAGCCCAAGCCGGCTACAGGTTTACGCAACCCTGAGGAAGTCGGACGACTTGGCGGAACGTCTCAACCGCGAGCACCGTGAAACCTTGCCAACCGACCCTCGATACTTGGACCAGGAATTGGCCATCAACCGTATCATCCATGATTCCTACATGCTTCGTCGGTCAACCGAAACCGACAATTTAACCCCGCAGCAGATCCAGCAGTCCCGGCAACCCCGCAGCAGATCCAGCAGTCCCGGCAAGCGTTCCGGAACTTGCGTAGGCTCGTCGATGACCATCAGAACCCAGCATCACCGACCCCGCGCGACGTAGCCAAGTCGGATGCGCTGGTGGCCATCCGAAAGACTCGGCAGCAAGGACTGCAGCTCTTAATGGAACTACGTCGGCGCCGAGACCGATACCCCATCGAATCCGAACAATGGGCAGAAGCTGAGACCCTCATCATCGAGATCCAACTGAAGCTCGGAGAGATTGAACGCTTCAGCCATGACAGAATTCCAGCAGGAGTCCGCGATAGATGGCTCTTAGAAGGCGCGGTAGCATACGTAGAGCAACAGATAGCGGCCTTCAATTTAACTGAGGGGGCCGGACCGGAAGGGCAACAACCGAACCCCGTAACCCGCCAAGCGTATGACCGAGCCAGAGATAAGATGCAGCTCTGGGAAAGAGTCAACCGAGTGAGGAGGCTCAGCGACAACATCATAACGATGTTGATAAGACGCCGTGAGCAGGCCTATAGCCTCAATGGACAAGAGGCTGCCCGACGAGTTTCTGACCTAATTACCGAAGTTAACCGGGAGACAGCCGACATCGCAGGTCTTGTCTGGGAAGGGATCCCAATAGGACCCTGGGAAACCCGCGAGCTCCCGAGACTCTTGTCTTCCATCGAGCGACGCGCCGACAACTACGGCATAGTCGTCTCTGACGATCCATCAAACCGGCCCGACGAAGCCGAAGCCAGACTTTGGAAGTGGCAAGAGATCAGAAAGACCTTAGAAAAGGGCCACACGCTCAAGACCACCTTGGAACGGTCAGATCGATGGCAAGGAAAGCCCAACCACGGCGATCCAGAACAGTCAAAGTGGTTCAACGACCGGTGTAACCTGGAGAGTAACCTCCGCCATGTCGCCAGGCTCACTGATGCCGGAATGCCAACAGCACCGGCCGACGTTCGAGAATTAGATGCGCTACTCGGATACCTCGGGAGACGCATCGCCGAAGAAGGTGACCTGGACTCGGACGAATGCTCGGAATACAGCCCGAGCCGAAGCCACAGCCGAGAAGGGGAACCAACAGTGACCCCCGGCCCTGGCTCGCATCGAAGTGCATCACCGATGTCGGAACCTCCGTCACCGATACCCTCACCGGACATCGAGATGTTCGATGACCCACCGGAAATGGACTTCGGTATTACTATAACTACCGAAGAATTGAGGAGGGACTTAGCCGAAACTGAGCTAACAGCGGACCTTCTGACTCAACGGATCTCCACACTGCAGCCGGGTGACGAAGTTACCCGACGGACCATCACCGAACAGCGTGATATGGCTCGAGGACATGCTGAGAGGCTCCGGAGGAAGTTAGAGGAAAGAAGCCGCAAGGTGGCTTAACCTCGGACCCCCGGATCCCGACAGGCCAACCCACCAGGGTCACCTCAACCTCCGACCCTCGGACCTTCACAGGCCAACCCACCAGGGCCAATCCAACCTGAACCAGCCCCGACGGAGCAGGAAATCCAAATCATCCGTGACGACATAGCCCTCAACGAAGGCTATGTCCGGGACTTAACCGTCCAGGCTAACCAATTAGAGGATCGGACCCCGGCTCAGAAGAAGCTGAAGGAGCGGATCCAAGACCAGCATAAGATGGCCACAATGGACCTTGAGAGCTTAAGAGCTGACCTGGAAGTGGCATTGGCAAAAAGGAAGCATGAGGAAGAGAACCGCAAAACGGTTCCACCTCAGCCTCCGGCCAACCCGCCGACCCAAGCCTCTGCGAATCCACCGCAGCAACCGGAACGGCCGGTAGCGACCCAACAGGTTGCACCGTCTCAGCGTCTTTCACCACGCTCAGTAGTGCGGACGATAAAAAATATATCGGACCCGGGAGTCCTGCCGCCCGACGCTCAACCCTACATAGTTGAAGCCATGACTCGGGCAAATAATATCTTGACTGAGATGCGGACTCGCCGAGGCTTCTGCGACCGTCACAGCGCGGAATTCTTCAAATTGGATGGTGACATCACCGAAGTGGAGAATCACACCCGGGCAACCCGAATACTCCTACACCCGGAAACTCCGAAGCATCAGTACAACCAGGCTCAGCTGCAATCATGCGTGCTTTGGCTATCGGGCTTCATCCGGGACTATGAGGAAGAAAAGCAGGCTAAAGAACAGCGAGAGGCAGATCGAGCCTCCAGGGATCAGTCTCGGATCAGGCAGATCGAACCCCCAGAGCAGGGTACATCTGTCCAATCGACCCGGAGACCGACCATCAAGCCACCCTCAACGGCTACCCCACCGTCAGGAAATTGGCCACTGGCAGTACCCGGAATGGAAGAAACCATTCGGCGCGCACTTCAGCGAGCCGAGGATGCCAGTCATGAGATGCATGCCCAACTGCATGCCATGAACGCCTGGGACCCTAGGGCGGCAAGGCTCGATGTTGACACCAATACCTTGGACACAAGCCGAAAAATCATTGCCACCATACTTACTCTATCGGCAGCGAGATCTTCGGACACCGAGGAGACCCTAATTCAGGCGCTGCAAGATATAAAGCGGATCACCGAGGGTTACTACCGTAACAAGCGACGTGAGGCTGCAGAGCGAAAAGCCCAACAGACTAAGCCATCTGCCAAACCAGCTACGCCGCCCGGTGAGCCCATGGATGTCCCACCCTTAGAAGGCGAAGAACAGAACCTCGAGCCCTCCACAGCGGAACGGGAAGCTTATACTCGGACACGAGACTTAACCCCGGAGCGACCGAGTACAAGTAAGGCACCGAGGCCAACAACATTGCCGGTACCCCCAATAGGCGGTTCGGCCGGGCCAAAACGAACGGAACAGGTGCTTGTCATCCGACGTCCGACTGAACAGTCAGATGACCCGGAGAGAACCCCGGATGGTAGGGCTATCCATCAGCCCGGAGGCCCAGATTCGCCTAAATTCGCGAGGAAGCCTCGATCAAAGGATCGGAATGAGGATCAAGGCCCGAAACGGAAGCTGTTCTCATCACCACCGAGACAGGTCCGGACCCTCGAACAGGTCCGGGAGATCATGATGCGGGAAACGACTTCAAACCCACTGAA